CAGTAAAACCAAAAACCGAGAAACCAAACCCATCGGTTTTGGGCTGGGTTCTAATTTTCTTAAAACCGATAATTCGGTTTTGGGTTTGGTTGTAGGTCAAAACCGACCCAACCCGCCAATGCTCATCCCTAATTTAAACAAGAATATGGTGAACCTTTGAACTCATGAAAGCAAAATCCAAATTCCCGTGATAATATGCCTTTATGTCCGAATTTACACAATTGTCCATTGACTTTGCCATAATGACAGTTTAGCCCTTCCTCTATAACTATACTTTTCAAAAAAAAAAGTTTCAGGAATGCACCTTTTTGGCCCCTCACATAAAAAATCTTTAGTTTTCATTTGATTAATTATTTTTAATTAGCTACTGATGATTATTAATCATTATTAATCATAATTAATTAAATGCATTTATACCACTATTCCATCAATAAAAAAATAAACAGAAAACGGAAAATTACAAAAGTGGAAAGCTTGTCTTCCATAAACTTTCAAGTTTATTTCCAAAAGATCAATTCAACAATACACAAATAAAATTAATCCTCATAACTCACATAAACCTGTAAGCATCAACAAAAAAACATAGAAACATTCATAATAATCATATACCACAAGCCAAATTTAGATCTTGACCTAGTAATCAAAGAAAGGGTTGTTCTTGAACAACCTATCTGTACTATTTCTATTTTTAGAAACTCGAACACTTCGATCATCTTTCTGGGATCCAAAACCCGATGAAACTCGACCCGTATCCCCAAAAAGATTCGGGTGACAATTTTCATCATCTTCATCATCAAAAGTTGTCCATTTTGTCTCCAAACTCTTCCGTTCTTCTTTCTTCATTGCAAAACATGTGTTCTTCATCTCCAAACTCTTCTGTTCTTCTTTCTTCATAGCAGAACACGTGTTCTTGATCTCTTGAACATGATCCTTAAACTCTCTTCTCACCACTTCCAACACAATTTCTCCATATTGATCACACCATTTCCTAAAATTCCCATGAAAATTATCAAAAATTGGTGAAAGATAACTAAATTTTTCAAGAAGTTTGATTTTTTTGCTTACTTGGAGAAAAACTTTTTCAAGTCAGCTTTGTCGATGGGAAGCCTAGTCGAAATCACTTCAATTTTATCATCACTGAAATTTTCGGATCATTGATTTATTTATTTTCATGGATTTTACAAAAAAAAAATAATACTATATCTCAAAATTTATATTTCTTACGATAATTGAAGCTCTGCTTTGATTTTTAGTAGCTCCTCCTTGATTTTATCTCCTAGAACCTGAGGAAATGATCGCATAAGCACAAGAATAGAAATGTAATTTCAATTATTTGTGTATAATAACATCTTTTATTTTTTCTACTCGATCACTTTACTAAAAAAAATTAAACCAAATTGTTCTATTAAATTACCTTATCAACAAAGAAATCAGCCGATGAGCCATCCGTATGTAGTTTTCTCTTGATTTTGGTATCTTGTCCTTCTCCAACTCCTAAACAATTTTCATTGATCGAATCATTTAGTGATAAAGGAATCGTATCTTTCTCCAAATCATCACTCTTCTTCCATTTCATAAAACCATTAAAACCCCTCCTTTTCCCCTTCTTTGATGACGAATCCTCAATCACCACACTCTCCGACATCAAAATTGTCGGTTTTTCTTCATCTTTTTCTTTCATTTCACAATTCCAAAATGGGTTTTCTTGAGATACTCCAAGATTTTGAGTACCCGTGTCAAAAGTAACAGTCTTATCTTTCCCATTCATGTTTGATGATGATGATGATGAAAGACCAAGAATTGATGCGGCTCCTTTGACTTGTTTGATTGTTGACTTTTGGGGCTTTGACTTGTTTTTGGAGCCAGAGTCTTGTAAGTCAATTACAGACCATTCGTCGTTTGGGTTTCTTTGTTGTGATCCAGCAATGACTATGTCTTTTGGGTTGATTTTGGCTCCTTGAGCTGAAAGTCTTTGCATCAATGGAGTTTTTGATGTATGATACTCCTCTTCTGATATACAATTTGCATATAACAACTCCTGTAACCAAAATGAAGAAAAAAAAATCAACTTTTTTGTCACCCAGAAAAAACCCAAATTGCAGTTTGTTCGAGTCTTGAAAGTGATACACAATTATCCATCAAGGAGATGATAATTTAACTAAAAATGAAAAAAAAAATATCATCTTTTTGAGATCCAGAAAAACCCAAATCAGAGTTTGTGTAAATCTTGAAATTAATACAGTTATCCAAAAATTGAAACAGAGATCGATTTTTTTCAAAACCCAGATCATAACTTGTTCAATTCTTAACACAATTACAATCATCCAATAAGAATACACAAATTCACCTAACATGAGAAAGAAATCATACTTTTTAACCAAAATAACTACAATTTCCCACAAAATTATGCAACTTAAACTTGTCGGAAATAAAATATCTAAAAACTAAGAGAAGTTTAAGTTCTAACCTGTAAGAAGATCAGTTTATCTCTGAGAATCACAGGCTGTTCGTGATCAAAAGGTGAAGAAATAAGAGTCTCAAGAAGATGAGCCCTAAAAGCAGAAACCTCAGCCTCAGCCAAAATACCTTCGTTAAACAAACCCATCAAATTCAAGATCTGATGGAAAGATTCCTGCTGCCATTTTAAGTTATCAGATTGTTGCTTCCATAGTCTCTGTTCAGCAGCAGCAATGGCGGGTAACCTTCGTTTCTTGAAGGAGAAAGGGAGGATGTTCTTGCAAATAGAAGCGATTGAATCTTGAACAGAAGAGTAGTACGTGGGTTTGTATGTGTACACCATTTTTTTTTTCTTGCGATCGATCTTTTTTTCCTTTTTTGAAGAATTTGGGAGTGATTGAAGCTTGTTGTTGGAATCTGATATGTATATGAATAAAAATGGAAGAGGCGTTTGGTAGTTGATGATTGATGATTGATGATGATGAAAGAATGTGGTTTTTGTCAAATGATGTTAAGCTTTTTCGGTGTTTCTTGAACGGTCACCATGGGAACTAGCCGTTGAGGGGGTTTAAAGGTTCAAAACGGTAATGTGGGAATGAAAACGACGTCGTGGGTTTTAGAATTGGCCCAATTTAGTAACTGTTGAACTTTTCCGTTGTATACAGTTTTTACGATTTTGGGCCATTGCCATTTGAATTTTATTCAGATCAATTTTGAATTTAAATCACGGAAATGAATAAATACATTATCCATGTTTCTATTTCTATATTTTTAATTTTTAATATATTGAATAACACTAATAACTAGAAAATATATATGTATGTATGAGTCATGACTCATGAGTGTCTTTTTTTAGGTTTTTTTCCTGCTAAAATGCACTTCTTAAAACTTGATTGAAATGCTTATAAATAGTAATTCGTGCCATAATATAAAATATAAAATGTAGTTTTATTTATTTATTTATTAAGATAATTGATGTAAAAGTATAACTAGAAAACGATAATGGTTGCATATGGCCGAGAATTTTACCTTTACTAATTAATAATGGTGAATATTATAATGTTTTACTAATTGTAATGTGAAATCAATCATGTCATATATCATCATAACCCAAAATGCGATAATGGTATTATAGAGGTTTTAAGTTTTTAACTACTATTATAAGTTTAAATCAAGCTCCTTTTCGAAGTTCAATGGCATTTTTTTGTATGTATTTTGGTTTTTACATGTATATGCGAAATAAGAATTATGTAAATTTTTATATTAAACTCATCACTCATGTTTGATTATGTAGTTATAAATCACCATAAAAAATGGCCTTTGAATCTTACGGATTTCAATTTTGATTTGATTTGACATGCTATTAAAAAATTGAGTATTTTTAACAGAAAAACAAACAAACAAACAAATTTAGTCTGATCTTTTAAACTTTTTCCAAAGAATAACAAAAAAGTTAAGAAGTGACTCATGTGGTCTTCAAAATCGCATGAGGACCTTCATGGTTTGCGACTTCGACATTTGGACTACGATTTTGTGGTTTAGACCTACGATTTCATATAAAATATAAAAAAAATGAAATTTTATCATTTTGGTTTGATGAAATTGCAATTAGCATTTGGCTACCGCATGTCCAAAGATAGAGTGGGTCCAAAAAGAAAATAAAAAATGGCCCTTTAAAACCATAAATATAATAAAATTTCAATTGAAAATAGACATAGCGTTATAAAATTCACTATTAATATTAAAAAACACAAATATGGTCACAAATCACAACATTACAAAAACAACTAATTTAAAGAAAATATTTCTCTTTGCATTTTTATATAAGTTAATTTTTTTTTCTTTTTATATATACCATATAATCTAGAAATTTTGGGTCACTTAGAGACATGAGCACTGGGCAACCGCCCACCACCGTCTGGGCCGAGCCTACATCTGGCCATCAACGACTTCCTCTGTCCGTTCTATGATTTTCTCTCTTCAAGTGAGATTGTACATGTGTCTAATGCTTACAGTTAAACATTAAACACTTGTTTAATCACATTTACGTAAAATTGAGGATGATTTTTTTTAAACTATAAAGACTATAGGCTCATGGGCTCGACTCCGACGAAATCAGTCCATAAGATAATCACAACCCGAATCGCAACCCATTAAATGTCACATGCCATTCAAAATAAAAAAAAAACAAACAAAAAACAAATAAATGTCACTTTTGATTTCAATGGTTAACTAGATCGTTTCTTAAATTTTCGGCTATTTTTTTGACAAAAATACATATAATTAAAGCTAAATTTATCTATGTCAAATTTTGAAGTCTTGTGATGAAGATAATAAAAAGACAATAACGCCCTCTTATGAGTTGCCATTTTGCCGGCTCCTCCCTTTCTTAGTTGTTAGTTGTTTCCCACTAAATTTTCAAAATCTTTGTTGTTTGATTCTTCAGCCGTCCAAAAAAAACACACACACTCACACACCCTATAAAACACACACAAAACAAAAAAACACACACCAAAACCAATGCAAAACCACCATCAATAATCATGGAACACGAACAACAAAGCAATCACATCTCCGATGACTACTACAACTCCGACAACGAAGAGGCTGTTTCCGGCAACAATTGCGGTTGTTTCCGCCTTTTCTCTTACTTCAATTACCACCACCATGATGGAGAAACAGCGGTGTTCATCCACCGCAGATTGGGAGAAAGAGACATTGGAGACAAAAACAGTTGGTTGATGAATCGATTCAAGAGATTTAGAGAATTTTCAGAGGTGATTGCGGGGCCTAAATGGAAGAACTTCATTAGAAAGTTTAGTAAGAAACCGAAAAAAGGGAATTCTTCTCCATTTCAATATGATCCTGAGAGTTATGCACTTAATTTTAATGATGGTGTTGGTGATGAAAGTGACGATGATTGTTCGTTGCCTCGTAGTTTCTCCACGAGATTTGCTCCTCATTCGGGTTCCATGGCTAGTTAGTGTTTTTTACTTTTTTTATTGTTTGATTTTGTTTTCCTTGTAAAATACTAAAGTATGAGAAATTTCTATTAGTTATTGATTAATTGTCATTCCTCTCTAATGCATATTTGTACTCATATAATTGTATTATAAATGATGTATCAAAACCCAATCCCCAATGATGGGACATATGTGTATGGGCCATGCTATTTTACAAGAGGTTAAATGCAAAAAATTAACAACTTCCTTTTGCCACTTTATTTATTATAGCATCCTACTTTTATTTCATCTAAATAAAACATTGTACTTCCAAAAATCTATCCAAGTACAATTTTGTAATAAAAAGATAAAATTACACAAAATGGTCATTGTGATTGGTAGAAAATGCCACTTCAAGTACTTTTTAGGAAAGTTTATCATCATTGGTCCTTTTTACGTTTAAAACGTACACGATGGGTCATCATTTTATGCCAACCACAAGTGATGACCCATCGTCCGTGTTTTAAGCCTGAAAAGGACCAACTATGTTAAAAACTCCTCAAAAGGACTTGCAATGGTATTATCTACCAAGCACAAGGACCATTTGTGTAATTTTGTCTAATAAAATTGAATGAGAATAGTATGCTACAAGACACAATAAGCTAAATCCTAACCCCCAAATTCAAGATATAAAAAAGTATAGATCCTTAAAGTTGATAAATTACATAACATAAAAATGTTAAATTTTATGTAAATTTACACCACATTAGGTACATATCTCATTTACATTTGAGAAACATGATACTTTCAACAATTAATTATCCCGGATATGAAAAAAAACAAGTGTGACATTGAGTGATTAAGGTAATGATGGGGAAAGAGTGGGCTTTGTGACTTTAAGTTCACCACAATTGCTGATATACAAAGTCTTTTGAGGCCTATCCCAAATAGCACGTGCATTTTTAGCTCTTCCATCTCCTAGAAACTCTGCCAAATCATTATATTGTCGAATTCTTTCCCCTGGTTTATATGTTGGAATTGAAGATATACTTGCCACCACATCCATACCTATAACAAAAATATTACTATTAATAGCAACGTACTTTTATTTGTTTGTGTACTATGTAGCATTGTACTATGAGAAGGGTAGTTATGTCTTTTGTGTTATATAACAAAACAACTTCACGCATTGCAAAACCCTAATCATGGAGCCAAAGTGAATAATTCATCAGTCTAGCTCTATAACTCATATAGCTTAGTGGATCTAATTTGAATTCCATGGTTACACTAAGAAATTTTGCAAAAGTAGTAGGAAATCTGAATCAAAGTTCCAATTCCAATCCTTAACATCTATGGCATAATACTGAAATTAACGAAATGGGTTTCATTTCCTTTCCTAAACAATGGTTTTAAACACGAATTTAATCAAATGTTTAGGAGAATTAAAGTTACCTTCAAGAACAGAACCAAAAACGATATTTCTACCATCAAGATCAGGGCAAGGACCAGGGCCAGTTGTGATCATGAACTCGACATTATGATAATTCGGATCAAGTTTAATATCGTCGTCGTCGTCGTTTTCCGATAAACAGAGTGATAAAACGCCGCCCTTTGTGTGCCCTAATTGGAAAGCCTTGGGGTCGATACTCTCTGTATTTCTAACCAAACCCACCGGCGGCTTAACTTCTCCTTTATCCCTTCGTCCTTGATGTCCCGCCATGAAAAACCGACCGGGAAAGATCTTCTGGATTAGCGTTCCTTTATAGTACCCAGAGACGCCGGTGCACATGGATTTGAAATTGGATACCGTGATTGGGACGAGGTTGCCGTAGAGGCCGAGGACTATGCGGCCGACGGGTTCGGTATCAGGACAGAGGGCGAGATCTGATCCTAGGGTTCGGGTTTGGAAGTAGCTAGGGCAGATACTGAAGTCCATGAAGACGCGGTCAGTAATGGTGGTGTCAGGTTGTTTTTGTGGTGGTGAGGCTATGGAGAGGGAGGGGAGGGAGAGAGCGGTGGTGGTGGAGGAGAGGAAGAGAAGAGAGCGGCGGTGAAGGTGGAGTTTGGAGAGAGGGGCGGAAGGAGGAGGATAAGGAGGGAGCGTGGCGGAGGTAGTGGTGGTTGTGGTTGAGCAGCCCATGGTGACGACGGAGCATGACGGAAGGAGGTGGGGGAAAGGACGAGTTGATATGTAGGTGTGATTTTGTGTGTTCCTGGATAATACACGGTCATCCGGTGGGGCCACTTGCAAAAGTACTTTTATGGATTTTTACGTGACTTACTAGTTACTAGGATGTAATCGGAATCAGAACTAAAATAACCGAAGACGGATTAAAGAGTCAATTGGGCACCATGAACCAAAATAACCGGTTTTGATTTGGTTTATTAGGAAGAAGGTGTTTTGTACCTGAACTGGACCGAAATCGAAATAACCAAAAACTGAAAATGATGGATTTGAGAACCAGGAACCCGACCGAATACCACTAAGTGGTTCCAACCGGTCCGGTTACGGTTCGGGTTTTCTGTTAAAAAGCTAATACATATGACTTACTTGCTCTTTGTTTTTTAAGAGATAAACAACTCTAGTCTGCAAACCAAATTTATAGAGAATGTTTGCTCTAAAAATTTGTAGGATAAAAGAAACGATATTTAAACCAAATTGGTCATAGATGATATTAAACAAACAAACCATATATACATATAGATATTAACCACATTGATTTCTAGATGATAGTTAAAAATGACGGTGCTAGGGGGTGAGGGTAGTGGTGGTGGTGGCAGAGATGGCGGCGACGATGGTGGTGGCAGAGATGGCGGAGGGAGTGGTAGTGGTGGCGCAGGTGGAAGTGTTGGAGGTGGAGGAAAATGGTAGTAGTGGTGGTGGTGGTGACAGGTGTGGAGGATACGATGGTGGTGGTGGCGGCGACGACGACAACAGAGACGGATGTGGTAGTTGTTAAGGTGACTGAGGGCAAGGGTGTTCAAAAATATCTATAATATCCGATCCGAAATTATCCAAAATTTCATATATCCGAAATTTCAGATTCAGGTTCAATCACTTTATACATTTTTGAATACTTCAGGTATCCGATATCCGAAATTATGATTATTTTTTTTTTATTTTTTTATATTTAATCTTATTACTTAAACATGTAAACTAGCCAACTAGGAAGACTATAGATTAGAAATATATTATTTTTAATTCTTGTACTATATTTTATTCATTATGTAATTATTTTTGCTATTTTGCTTATATCAAAATCATGGTTGCGATTTATATGTAATATTCATTATGTTAACGTTCATTCATACATAATGTTAACTTTTGTATACAAGATTGATGCTGTTGCTTTTTAGACCATGTTTGTTAGTTGACACCATGTTATTATTATTTTTTTTTAATTTGTGGATCTAAAAGCTAGCAATCGAAGAATTGAGCTTTGAGTCGATTGTTATAATTGTTTCCTAGCGTAAAGTGACTTTATGATTCATTGTTTGTGCGTCTTAAATTGATACTTGATGGTTTTTAATTTGTTTGATATAAAATTAGGCTCGTAAACTATCAATCCGTCATAATAAATAAGAGTAAATTACACTAATGGTCCCTATGGTTTAGGGTAATTTGCGCGTTTGGTCTCTAACTTATTTTTTTAACTCGGAAGGTCCTTACTGTTTGTTTTTGTTACGCGCTTGGTCCCTGTCTTAGCTAAAAAATACTATTTTGCCCTTCATTTTTTAATTTATTTAAATAAACACACCTCCAACCCCACCCTCCTCACTTTACCTTATCTACCCCACCATTTTTCCATATTTAAATAATAGTCTTTTTACGTAAGATAGGGACCAAATGTGTAACAAAAACAAACCGTAGGGACCAAGTGCATAACAAAAACAAACATTAGGGACCTTCCGAGTTAAAAAATAACTTAGAGACCAAACGCGCAAATTACCCCAAACCATAGGGACCATTCGTGTAATTTACTCAATAAATAAAGAACTTTTTTGCCAAATGTCATTATCTAATGAGTTTTGATACTTGTCATTTTGTGATAATTTTTAAATAAATAATATCCACATATCAATTTATGATTTTTTTCTAATTTTTTAAATTAAAAAGTCACATAATACTTATAGTTATATATGTAAAGTATCAAATATAATAAATATTATACTAAATTGCAATTAATATGTTTCTTCATTCCTTATTTCAAAAATTTATTTTAAAAAATACTTATTATTTATATTTTAATATTTTATTTTTTTTTAATCAACCCGTGAAATACACGAGTTTTACACCCTAGTAGGTGAATAGATTGGAAAATAATGTTTTAAAAGGATAACACAATTTAATTATACATATTTAGTCACTTATGTTTAACTTTGTACATAATTAATCATTTACGTTTTTTTAATAGACATTTAGTCACTTGTGTATTTTACTTTATACATATATGACCATTAATTATAATGGTCATATGTGTACAAAATAAAAAACATAAGTGACTTAACTATACGATTCATTATGTAAAAGATAGCAATTGAAGAACGAAGCTTTAAGTCAATGGTTCTAATTGTTTCCTAAAGTACATTGACTTAACTCCCCCAACACCTCGTTATCTTTATCGTGTCTCCACTTGTATCCCCTTTTTTCCTCTTGAATCAAGATGCAACTAAGAAAATCATAACACCCTTACACACTCCCCTTCTTAAATCGATGCTGGAAACTTGCTCTTTGTGACAAATACAAATAAAAGAATTTAAGGTCACCCAATCCCTTTTTGGAACGATTGAAAGGTTGATAGAAACACATACATACACTATGCATGGCGTGTGCATTCAATCGTAAAGCAGGGAATGAGAAGAAAGACAGTAGCACTTGATCAAGAGAAGTAATAGGGGTTGACGGGGTTGAAACTAGTATGGCTCCACACAATTGTGGGCGGCCATTATCCATTGTCCCCTTCCTCTATTCATGGCATGAAACAATTTAAGGTCGGAACCAATTTTGATTGAAGAGTATTTGATGCCTTATAATATATTGCCATAAAAAAGGGATTGTTCACCTGGTTCGTCTTGCCTTAGACAGATATAACCGATGTGTATATCTAGTGAGAAAATATGTTATTAATAGATAATTTTTATGAAATTACATGATATAATTTGTTAATAATGTTAGTATAAATGCACGTTAGATCGTTAAAATTAATTGTGTATATCCAAAATCTGGTGATCTACAAACCGAATGCCTTAATCTTGTGCATAATTAGAGTCACATATGTTAGAATAGTTGATTTGTCCTTATCACATATGTTAGGTATTCATGTTGTAACTAGCCATACTTTGAACATTCCTGAGTTAGAATGTTAAACGAGTATTGTATAATCCGGAAGATGGCTAAATATATGATCTACATGTTCTTGTTTTGTTGTTGTTTTAGGGTATAATGCCACACCTTGTTTTGGATCATTCTGTATAATTCAGGACTCGTGGGCCATAAATCGATTGTGTGAAAACTTTGGGGCTTTGAGAAAGTAAATTTTAGGCCTTATTGAAGGTTGACAAGTTTGGTTGTGAGATATAAACCCTTGAATCATGAGTGGGAACCAAGGGTGAATTGGGGAAGGATAGGTGTCAAATTGCTTACAAGGGTTATGGTTTTGAGTTCGACTTGTGTTAAGCCAAATTTAACAAGATAAGGTTGTAGAGCGCTTCAAGACCTTTCTATGGGTATAAAGAACGACGAAATCGGAGTTGGAACGAAGAAGTTATGGTCGTTTGAAGTTTAGATAGGAATGAGGAATTAGTAGTACGATGGGCGTACATGGGAAGTACGCATGGTGTACTTCATTAAATGAATCGCGTGACTTTACCCAGTATTTTGGGCGCACCTAGATTACGCCGGGCATAATTATACGGGGTGGAAACCCTAATTTTTAGGGTTTAAGCCCTATTTAAGCAACTTAACTATTGGAAACTCTCTCCATACCCAACCTCCATCTCTCCAAAGCATCATCTCAAATGTGACAATCCGGAACTTTTATCCCGTACAATTGATCCTTAAATCCATATTAAATTCGATTTTTATCATCATTTTACGCTATTTAAGGGTCCATTTAAGTGTTCTAAGCTTGAGTACAGTTGGGAATGAGATTAGGAATGAGTCAACATATCATTGGAAGCAAAATCGGGCCATACACCCTCATGAGAGGTGTGTACGGCCGCACACCCACCCTCCAGCCGCACTCCCCCTCATATATAAAGGAGGAGACCCCTTCACTCATTCCTTTCCTTTGGATTTCTCTCACTACTTTCTCTCTCTAAAAACTACACCCAAGAACACTCTAAAGGCCTCAAAAACGTGAACCACTTCATCTTTCAGCTTGTTGTAGTGGTAAGACACTTGAATCTAAGCCTAAAACTCATAGTGTTCTTCGTGTTCTTCATTCTTTGAAGGTGTACGGCCGCACACCTTCATAAGATGGCCGCACACACCTTAAAGCTCTCCAAAGTGAAGAGTTTGGCTCCCCATTTGCTAGTTGGACTTGGTATTAGCACTAGAACACCTCAAAACACCTCAAAATCGACATTTTGGGCACAAATGAGGAGTGTACGGCCGCACACTCCTGTGTACGGCCGCACACACCCTCTGTAAGGCCGCACACTCCTGTGTGCTACCGTACACACAGCCTGGCCGCACACCCTGGCCGCACACTCACTCAAATGGCCGTACACATCCCTTATTTGATCATATAGGGTCCCGACAAGCATTTCCAAGTCTTTAGGGTGGTTTCCCGTCATGTTTAGTCATGAAACACTCTAATTCTAATGCGTATATGTATTATCACATGTTAATAGGATCCACTCGCGTGCGAAACATCGGTTGACACTCAACACTCGTAACTAATTTTGCTTTCGGATCCTACGATAAACAGTGAGTTCATACCCCTACATTTTCCGTGTTTTTAATGTTTTCAGGGGGAATACAAGCCAAACGCTAAGTATTTTGTTAAGTTTTAAACTTATTAATGCAGTCCAACGATTTCCACGTTTAATAACATATTCGGGTATTTTATGTCTTTTTGTAATATGTTGAACATAAGGGAAACCTCTATTTTGGAAATCCAACTTTATAGCTTTCAGAAAGGTTTTTACAAAGCAATTTCCATATCAACTCTAATAAACTATAATGGGTATAGTTTGGGATAACTCTCTAGACA